TTCCACTAACCAGCGGACGCAGTCTGTGTGTTTACGATAGTGCCGTTGTGTGCGGTTGTTGATGTGATAAAGCACAATCACACAGGCAATGAAGTACACCGCCTCGCCCGTCGGAAGGAAATACAGATTAGCTCGACCGTCCCGTCCACGGTAACCATAGCTAGCAGAACAGCGTTAAGGTAACAACAAGATACAAGAAAGAAACAAATCACACACAAAACTGTGTTGCTGAACCTTGCTTTAGTTCGAGCAGGCCAGCTTTAACCATTGCACCCACACCATCTCAGCTAAAAACTGCCCAATATAGACCATACGAGGCATCAGTCCTGGTAAAACCAGCAGCGTCTGAATGTAACAACCCTCGCAAATACGTGGCATTATGGAAGGATACACCCAGTCCAGCTCCAGTCTCTCAGAGGGAGGCTCCATCTTCAGCTCGTCGTAGTTCTGGATGTTGGAGGGGATGTACATGGTAATGGGTCGGCCTCGGATAAACATTTTGATTGACTGTCCTGAAAAACAAACAATGGGTTTGTCTCACAGATTCATCACCAAACTGTTCTTAATCACAGAAAACTCATGTGGGACCCGTAGTGAGCGAGAGTGAGTCACACTTCCAAACTTCTTGGGTTACTTTTTTATAATAATTTGTGTTTTAAAAATCGAGCTCTCAGTTGCCAACTGGCAGCAGCAGAACAAGAATGGGAGTGAGACACTCCTGGAAAAGCAGACTGTCCACCTCCCCGTGAAAGACGATGAAGACATAAAGCAGCGTAAGAGCAGGTTTACCTTGGCTGTAGGTTCCTCTTCTGGAGCCAGGGGATCCTGTGTGTAGATGAGAAAAAATAAAGGTTAGCCAGACGAACAGCATTAAATCACAGCTGACCTATAGCTTTATAGCTTACTATAACTTTAGACATTTCAGAGGGTTAAATCTTCCATTAACATCAGTTACACCCACAAACTTTAGAATCAACGCCGAATCATGTTTTCTTGGCGCCTGCCGGTTTCTATGGGACTCAAAGTAAAGTAAAACATTAAGGATGAGCTTAACCACACATGAATGTTGAGACCGACTCTAACTTTCTGTCTGACTGACCAGAAAACGCTAGAACAGTGTGGAGTGCCAGCAGCTATGCAACAGTTCCTGTGTAAGTAAATGACGGTGGAGCCACAGTTTTGTTTGGTGATATCACACTGTAGCAAGGCTTTTATTGAAAATATCTACAGCTTTCATCTTCTCTAAAATAAATCCAGTTTCCTTGGCTGTGTGGGGCTTGGTTGCGGTCATTGTCTTGCTGAAATGACCACCCTTGTTTCATCTTCATCATCCTGGTAGATGGCAGCAGATTGGTTTTCTTTTTTAAATCAAGGATGTCTCTGTACATTTTTCCATTGATCCTTCAGTTATATGAAGCGTGCCAGTGTTGTATGCTGAAAAACAGACCCACACCATAATGTTCCCACCTTCAAACTTTACTGTTGGTATGGTGATTCTGGAGTCATCTCACTACTAAAACTACTATGTCCAGTTCCACATAATCTTAGCTCAGTCATTCCCAAACACCCCAGGGGCCG